CTGGTGCTCACTCAGAGGTCACAACAAAATTGAGGCCCTTTAAAGTTTAAAGGGTAAATATAATTTTTGGCTATTTAAATTTGTTTTTATTTTGATTTTCGTTTCTCAAGTTTTAAATCATAGATTTAGTCTCTCAAAAGATAAAATAATAATATAGGGAACTAATATTATAAATGAAAAAAAACCTAAGGAATCAAGATTTTATAATTTGAAAGTTGAGGAACTAAATAAAAATGATGGCAAACTAAAAGACTAAAAATTATTATTTTGATTATAAATATAGGACTCATTTTGTAGCGTGGGACAAGAGGAGCATTAAGCAAGTTTAAATCTTAAAAATTTGTTTCAGTAAAAAAAAAAAAGTAGGAAAAAAAAGGCCCATCTGCTGCTGGACTCCACTGTTGGGAACGTCGGAGAGAGAGCGCGGGAACCAGAGGTTCGATGGCGGGTTGGTGACAGTGGATTATTGCCTGCAACGACGATGAACAACAGCGAATCCTTATCGGAAATGGAAAGGGGAGCCCTAGTTACCATAGATCTGAAGCGAGATGGTGTTCAGGATCTTACAGACCAACTTCATCACCTTCCCTGCTGCATCAAATCCACCGGTCCTGCCTCCGTTTCGCACTATTTCAAACCCAAGTCTACTGGTATTTCCCACTCTTGCTCCAACCATTGTGGTCAATTCTGCGTTTTTCTTGCTGATTGCGTTTTTCATGTCTTGGGGTAGGGATTGAAGTCGAGGGCTTACCGCTACAGGAAGCGTACTTCAGAGGCAGAAAGTTAGATGGAACAACGATCCTTCTCCCCAGTGGATATCGCGGTATGAAATCTTCTTTGTTTTAAAATTAAGAAATCTTTGCTACATTCCTAAGTATCCACAATCTACTTGTTTTAGCACTGTCTTTTTACTGTATTCGGTTGCTGTTGGTCTTTCGAGGAATGGGTCAACTTTCTTTCTCTTATTGGAATTTCGACTCCCTAAAATCTGACTGAAAATTGCTGTTGACGTTTATATTATTTGTAGATTGACATCTCATTAATAATTTAAGAACCAAAATATGCAGTTTTAATGATTGACATGAATTTGTCTTCCTGTACTTTATTAGTTGCATGCTCACTAGTCATTATAGGTGGGATTTCTCTGATATATATATATATTATATATATTATATATGGTTCTGCAGGCTTTGTATTAGGAAAGAAAAGCCAGGATGAGAAGAATTCATCTGCTGCTTCTTACTCTGAAAACTCAAATTCCTGGGAGATGAAGGCAACGTTTCAAAACATTACATACTGGAACCATGATTGCCTTCCTTCACAGAACGATGATTTCATGCGTGCTTTCCATTGGCTTACTATTGCAAAGGCTGTAAGTTTTTAGCTCAATTATTGGAATTGGGACTCCATTTTGATTCTTATATAAAAGGCTTTGTTTTTCTTGCAGATTATTCAATTTTATCTATGATAAATACATTGGGTTAAATGCTTGAAAATAGAGACGACAGATGCCTCTGATTCCTTGATGCATGAAAATCAATGTGGATATCGCTATTCAATTGGACAGAATATGTGGATTAATCTATTACTGTATTACATATTCTGATAGCAATAAAACACAATAGTTATACACGCAGATCTCGTTGCTGCCTGGGTATAAATTCCTTAGCGAAGAAACTCTATCATTATAATTTGAATTGTGATAACGCGTTAGGACACACTGGTATTTTCTCTTCATTTTTGCCAACCAGATTATCAATCCATATCCAGTGCATGTTTGGGTTCACATTCGAAACCACCAAAACCATGATTCCCCCTTCTAATGTGAAACCAAACATTCAAATTGATGCAGTAGTTTTTATCTTGGGGCGAGACATTATACGTTTGGATGGGAATATGAGACTATTTGTACCATGTTCGCCGACTCCTCTCGTATGTGTCATCTATTCGTTTTCAATATATCCCCTGTTACTGATAATGTGTAAAATATGGAAGTTAAAATTGATTCAGTCAGCCAATTCTGAAAGACAATGAAGTATAATATTTTGCTGCCCAAGTATCTAAACTTCACCATACGTTTGGTAACTGCAGCTGCACACTCCTGTAACATCTGAGGATTTAGCTTCAACATCGTCCGCTCTCTAGAGACGCAGCTGGTCTGGTAGGAAGTGTTGTGAGCATATAAACTTTCTGCCTATCTATTGACGTAATTTATGGATATATGTAATCTTCAATGTTAGTTTGGGACATTTTACTTTTATGTATCTGCATACCTATCTCCGTCAATAGTAAATTTCAGTTTCTTATCTTCTAGCTTGGAAAAATGATATAGGGTGCTTGCTGCTTAGTTAGCCATCATGTCTGGTCACTGTGCTTAAAATCTGCTTTGAGGTACTACCTACAGTTCTTAATTAAGATCTTATATCAAGGACCATAAGTAATATCTTAATTTTTTATGGCAATTTGCATGGTGGTAACTCCATTTCTTCTTCATCTTTATCTTTGCCAATATGCATGGGTGTGTCGGCACACTTTAGTTGGAAGGAGATCCAGCGTAGGGAGTGCCATGTGCATATTTGATGCAGACAATTCACATTTGATTTAGATGACTAACATTTCACACAAAACACACAAAATTTAAGCAAAACGAGGAATGGTAACAATATTCTGGTTTTTAAAAGAGTTTATAAAACATGAATCCGCAATTGTATATAATTTTTGGCAAACTACATATTTTTGAAGCCCAAACTGTGATTTTGCATGTAAGAGACAAACAATTTTATTGAATGGAGGGTTTACCTAAACCATGGTTTCATGAATCTTTTCTTCTTGGAGGGTTAAAGCTGGTCCTTTTCTTTTCATTGTAATAGTACCTCTAGTGCTTAATATAAGAGTTAGTTAATTATTTGAGTGGATTAAAAATTAATTAAATTAGTTATTATAATAAATATGTGTTGTCTTTTTAAAATATCTTTACTATTATGAGTATTAGCTAGAAGTACCATTTGATGAAATATTTAATAATGTAACTATTACAAGGACTACTTTTGAAAAAATAGATAAGTATGATAAACAAAGTGAATTGGGAATTTTATATTTAGGATCAAATTGAATGTCAAACTAATTTTTATATTAAAAAAATGGAAGTAGTATGTTGTTAAAAAAGAAAAAAACTAGTTACCTCCACAATTATCATGACACTTGATTATTTAATCTTTTACTTTATACACACACCAATTATGAATTAGTTATATAATTAATAAATTGTTTTCATATATGTTTATTCAATTTTATAAAAAAAATATGAGATTTCATGTTTAAAATCTTTAGGTAAAAATATATTTTTTTTGTTGGCAAAAAATAATCATTTTCTCTAAAAACATATTAATCTTATATTTATAAAAATATAAAAATATATACATATTAATTATTAATTAATTAGATTTTTATATATTATTCATTACTTTGAAAAATATATTATTAACAAATTTATTACTTCTTCAAATAAAATTATAAATATAAATATATCTTTATGTAATCATCATATTATATTAACTTATTTTTTTTTTAGCAATTTGCACATGAAAAAGTTTTTCTGATAACAACTATTTAAATAATCTCACTTGATCAAATTTTTTTTTTACAAATATCTCTTATTCTATTTTTAAAATAACTTTTGTCTTAGAAGCTGTTTTTCAAAAATGTGGTTTGATTTTATTCAAACACCCCTTAAGTCTATGACATTTCAAAATGTAAATTTAATCTTTAACTTTTTTTTAAATATTATGGATTTTTTATAAATTAACTGGCCGTTATTTGTTGACAGAAATTACCACGTCAAATTAATAAAAGATAACTTATATACACAGCATTTTTTGGAAGTTTAGAGCAGTTTTATAAAATTTCAGGAAGGTTATATGTAACTTATTTAAAATTTATGGGAGTTTCATAAAATCATACCCAAATCAAATTTAGATAATCCAAATATGACTTGGACAGCTGAAAAAAGATATATAATCGATCAATTTAAACTGTCTCTAATCTCTCAAATGAATGTGTACAACCAAACAATGTCCCATCTGTACGAATATGTGTACACTCACAAAAACACGCATGTCTGTACAAACGTGCACTGAGGCTCTGCTTCTTGGAAACAAGTCGGCAAAGAAAATTCAGTCATATTTTTGGAATAGCTGCTTCTGCGAAGAAAACACGTACGCGCACTTTGAACTACTTGCTAATAAAGCAGCAGAGAAAAAGCACTGTTGCTTCTGGAATAAATGCTTCTACGAGTAAACTGTTTATGTCACTCTTTATCTTCTGCCCGTTGGTTAAAAAGCAGAGAGAATCTTATCAAATGCCAACTCAGAATCCTTGATCTTTCGTGTTACACGGTTTTCAGCTTTGAACTTTTCACATTTCTTGTTTTATAATACCATTATTAATAATACTCCTTTCGATACTAAACGTAAGAACTAATTCAATTAAGAGGTTGGTTTTGATTCTAAATATAATATCGTAATATATTTGGCCTTGCAACTTTATAATTCTTTTATCAGATAATCCTATAATTGCACATACTAAAGAGTTTTTCTCCTCCATGAGAATAATCTCTAATGCAAATCATTAAAGTAGGTAATTTTCTTGATCTATGTACCTGTTATCTAACTCTTATACTCGGGATTAGATTAGAGTGAGTGTTATCTAAGAAAACTAAACTCCTTAACAATACCAAAGTGAAGGGAATGTTAAAGGCACTCACAAGCAGCTTTACAGTTGCCTCCTTCAAGACTATATGTTCGAACACAAACAAAAGCAAAAGCTAAAGAAGATATAAGAGCATTTAGATTCTTATTGATCCATGGAAAGCTGACAAGTGAGTGATTTCTTCCACTTTACGCTATCTAGACTGCCAATGCAATTCTTTTCACATTGCCTCACATATATATTATAAACTTGAAGATTTCTGGTGGTAACAAACATTGGAGTTTATCCATTTGATGCAAATCTCACATTAAATCCCTTGTAAGAAAATATGTCTTCTGATCACCACACTGTTAGTCATGCCCATTGGAAGGGAGTAAGTGCCTTTCTTCGCTGTCTATCTCTTGTTCTTATCTTCCTCTTATCGATCTGTAATGTGGTTATCTGTTCAAGTGCTTATTTTATATATTATTATTGGATTAAATGTTATATTATAATTATTAGTCAGACCAGACCAGTTTAAAGTTTCAATTTTTCCAATATATCATACACAAAAACACTTTTAATTAAGGTTTGAGTGTGATGGTTTAGGGTTTAGGCACAGGAAAAAAAAAACCAAAGAAAATTTCAATAAGGTTATTGAACAGAATTTTTTTTAATTAACTGTCTATCTAAGGCTTTGATTGCTAATAGAGTATATAATATCGTGTAATTCGTATAACTGACCCATAAAGCTCGTTGTTATTGATGTTTTTGTGTGATAGTTACATTTGGTTTGATAAATAACATGACAAATACTTATTTGCAATTGAAAATGATAGGCTGTTGAGCTCAGTAAGAAGCTAATTATTCATTACAAATTGTAATCTTCCAAGAATCTCCGCCGGAGAGGCTCTTGATGGCTTGAAGAATTCCCATTAATTATTGAATTCTGTATTAATGTGTGTATGATGAAGCTCAATTGCTGTTTTGTTTGATGATTTTAAGGATGCAAGTGTTGGTAAAGAGCCAGAAACAGGGACAATTATAGTTCCTGTGAGAGCTCTAAACATCATCTGGGGCAACGATAGTCGTTTTTGGCGGTTCCAGGACCTTCCAAGGGATGAAACTATGTAAGATTCACATCACATCCCGGGGGGGGGGGGATACATCATGATTATATATAGTACGATGCTAGAATTTCGTATAGTTAATAAGAGCAATATTGAAAATTTTTGAATTTTAAACAATTTAACACTTTTAACTGTTTTTAAATTGGTTATTAGTGTGTTCTTATAATAATAACCAGGGAGAGTATTACTAGTTTGAGTAAATCAATGAAGTTAGATAAATTAATTAGTTAATTATAACAAATGTGGTATGATTTTACCAAATAATCATGTATAACATTACATTATATATCATTTTTATAAGTTAGGTAAATCAGTTTGGGCAAAATAATAATATGATACAGGAGACAAATAGACAGGATCTTATATTTAGAACCAAATATAACCGTCTAACTAGCTTTATATTAGGAACCGGAAAGGTACTATATATACATAACTAAACATATTTTTGGTCTGGGATTTTGAAGGATGATAGGGTTGAAGGAAAGTGCATGGCTGGTTCAAGTGAATTGGATAGAGGTGACAGGGAAAGTGCGAAAGTCTGACCTGCACAAGGAGCCTGGCTCAGTCACAAAATATGGTATCTTTTACATCATCAAGTTCAGGGCTGATGCATTTGGGTGGCACTCTGTTCCTATAAAGTTCAAATTCAGACTCACCACCACGTCTGCAAAACAACAACCACAACCACACTACCACAGCACAGATGATAATCTCACCATTGATAAAGAAGATGAGAAGAGCATCATTCTGGAACCCTACAGAGAGAAGCAAGAGGTGTGGCATGAAATCCCAGCAGGCCAATTCTCTGTCTCTAACTCTGATGGCTTTCTTGAGTTTGGTATGTTTGAAGTTGACAGTGCTTGGTGGAAGGGCAATATGGTCCTTGCAGGTGTCAAGATCAAGCCCATATAAGCCTAATCATTACATTATCTATCATTAACTACCATTCTCTCAATGTTATTCCTGTAATTATAAGTGACAAGAATGTGGTCTGGTTCAATCTGCACACTGGTTTCACAATCCTCTAGCTGTGCTGAGGTTGTTGTGTAATTTCCCCATTTTGTCTTTTGTAACGTTACAGTGAAATAAATCATGTTGTTGGATTTGTCCAAGACTGATCACCTTATATGAGAAATGTTAATGGTTTCATTCTTATGTAAATTTTTTGCGTTCAAAATGTGAGTGAGGATAGTCACTGCCATTTCCTTTTAAATAACGTTTCAGCAAAAAATTTCATTGGTGGGTGAGAAAAAGAAAACGAATAACGTTTTAGCAAAAAAATTTCATTCCATTTTAACTAGAAAACATATGTCCCTTATTGAAAGTTTTACTAATAAAAAGGATTTGATAAAGTTTTACACACAGAAAGTACCCGAGTCTGAAAATTTTGTTCTATCATTTTATAATATCAATAGGCAATTGATTTTTCTTAATTCTAACCTTAGTAAGTAATATAAAATATAGAGTAAATCTTATATTTAGAACCGAAAGTAAAGTATGTGGTGTTCAAACAGAGTGTTTTTTTCTTTTCGGTTACCAGCATCCATCATCTCTTCCCCCAAGCTTATCAAATTATGGTATGTTATGCCCTACAAAGCCATGTAACTTGTAAATAATTAGAAAATTTTCTCCCGTGCGATGCACAAACCAGAGTATTTGATTAGATTTTAACTTGTAATAATTACTTTATTTAAGATAGCTCAAATTCTATCATTTTATAATATCAGTAGGCAATTGATTTTTGGAACAATGATAAAAAAAAAAGCTGGAATTTTGTAAATGTCAAATATGGAATGTTAACAAAAATTTGTTGTCATTTGTAAATTCAGACTTGTCAATACCAAATAAAGTTGTGTTACCAAATCTGATTTGGGATTTATAATTTTCAGCTTCGTTTTCTATTATTCTCCCTTGATTTTTTTTAATTTTACCCTTAGTAAGTACTACAAAATACAAATGAATATTATATTTAGTAGGGGTGTGCATGGGCAAGACTGGGCAGGGCAGGACCCCTACCCGATGCACAGCCCAAAAGATATACGGGCTATAAAATGCAGCTTACTGCCCGGTCCTACCTAGTAGAAGCCCTAGACATTTTGGGTAGGGCTAATGCGGTTGGGTAGGGCGGGCTTTTCTTGCCCAAGGTTATAATTTAAGTCTTGAAATTTAAAATACTATCATATGTTTTAACTAATATCTATACTCCAAGAATTAAACAATATCCTTATTTTTTAAAAAAAAACAGACAATAATAAAAATTATAATTAAAGCTTTAAAGTTCAAATGATTTGCATAATCTCCACAATACAAGCTACATTAACATATTCAATTATATTATAACTTATGATTCAATATAATCTATAGTATTTTATATGTCACATTCAAATTAGTATAATTTCATGATATATGAAGTAATATCAACATAAAAAAGTTTAAAAAGACAATTATAGTACACAGCAAAGTAATTTAGAAAAGTTAAAAAAAAGTGGTATTTCTAAAATAACTAAAACTTTAAAAATGTAGAGTCTCATAGAGCAATTTCCTTTATTAAATTAAATATCTTAATATTACACTATATTTATTATAATTTGACAAAAAATACATATTATAATATAAATAATCACAAACACATATTTTTTTTTCGGACAGGCTAAATGGGCAGGGCCACATGCCGTGCCTGTGGCCTGGCCCTCCCCGTGATTAACCTTGCCTAAAAATGTCCATTTTTTCTTTGTGCCACTTTTTTTTGGGTTGGGTTGAGCATTTTTTGACGGGCACGGGCGGGCATACCAGGCTATTAGGCATCATGAATACCCCTAATATTTAGAACTAAAAGCATATGGTATTCAAACATAGTGTTTTTTCTTTTTGGTCACCAGCGTCCATCACCTCTTTCCCAAGCTTTATCAAATTATGGTACATTATGCACTACAGAGTCACGTAACTTGTAATAATATTACTACTTCTGATCTTAATTATAAGACCATATTTATAGACTACACACGGGATTTTATAATTATGACTGGAAGTAGTATTACTTTCGATATCTTTTATATTTATATCAAGTGATAATAAAATATATTGACGATAGAATTAAACATATGAATTCCGAGCACCATTTAAACTTGGAGATAAGGAATAAAGCTAACAATGATAGGTTATGAATGGCGCAGAAGAACCAGATGCCTTATAAATAATATAATTTTTTTTCTTTAGTTGTGTATCTTCCATTTAATCAACACCACCACTTGCTCTTCATCTTTCAAAAACTTGTTCTTACGGAATATATTCCTTTATCTTTTTTCCCTCCATATTCTTCTAAATTCCCCTACACACACGCACAATTAATATACAAAATATATTCCATTGATATATATATATATATATATATATATATTTGTGTGTGTGACGCATGCTTGAACTTGTCAAATTTGAGAATAATTACTTTCTCGAACATGTACGTTTTCATGAGGCTAGAAATCCATTATACACAAGATCAAGGTGTTTATCCCATCAATTAATTAATTAATATAAAAAAAATACAGCATGCACTTGAACTTTTTTCCCCCTTGTACATCCTTCAGTAATCAGAATTCATCATTAACTAAATTTATTATTTTTTTCATTTCAAATGAGTGAAAAAATCTCACTTAACTGTTCTCCCGTTAACATATATGGGGGAGAGACAAGAAATCACAAAATAAAACAAAAGAGTAAATTATACAATTTTTTTACAAATTTTGTTGACATTAGTATATTCGTTCTTGATTCTTAAAATCTACATATTAAAAATAGAAAAGATGTCTATGTAATTTTATTAAAATTTAATAGAGGTGTCTTGCAAAAAAAAAAAAAAAACTAAGCGTGGTGTAATTTACTATTCATTTTCAATGACATCTTGATTTGAAAATAGATAAAATCCATAGAATTTAGTTTTGTTCCTTTTTGTTCACTTTGATTTCAAGGACTCGTGCACATATAATGAGTGCGATGTGGAATTGTGAGCCTATGTTGTGTGCATAGAAATACTGAAATAATGGGGGATTGTAATTCTACAACCATCACCGACCGCCGCCACCCGCCACCGTCACCCCTACCCCACCACCCATCCACCACCTTGATGATTTGCAGAAATTCTGGATGAACGAGAAGTTGAATTGCAACTGTTTGATGTTGTATGCAAGGGCACTTTCAATCACTGGGGGAGAAGATAATCGCTATTGGAAATGGATACAACACCAAGAATCAAGGTACACACAATTCACAACAAGCATACTTCTCTCTCCCACAGGCACAATTTAAAACAGGATTAAAATACAAATTTGTTTGAGAGTTGAGTCAGAAACTTGGCCAACTAAAAAATTTTTGAATGCAATTTGACCTGAAATTTTAAAATATTAACAATATTGTCTTCTACCGTTAAAATATTAACGATCAATTTATTATTTTAATTTTTAACCGTCAATGCTAATTTTTAACACTAGAGGACAAGAAGTGTTTTAAGGAAAAAAGCACCCCAACCCTTTTAAATATAGGCACCAACTATATAGTATGAGTAAACCCTGATTTACTTGGCAAAGGGGGGCAAAAAAAAGAAGCCCTGATTTAAGTAATGAGAACAATGAGGTGTGGTGTTGCAGTGGGTACAATGATAGAGGCAGCTGAACTGGAAAGAATGTGTAGGCTGGAAGTGCATGGAGGTTAGACACAAGGAAGCTGACACCAAGAGTTTTGTATGAAGTCTGCTTCATGTGATGCTGAAAGACCCGACAGAGGGCGGGGAGGTTTCCTGTGAATGTCAGGCTTGTGCTGCCAGGAGGGAAGAAGGAAGAACACAAGGAGAATTTGATCAGCAAGATGAGAGCGCAGTGGATGGAGATCCCAGTAGGGCGATTTGTAGCACCAAGCTCATGATGAAGGAGAGAAATGGAATTCTCTCTGTATGAAATTGAAGGTGGGGGCTTGGAAAAAGGCCTTGTCATCAAAGGAGTCTC